CGATTTTAATGTTTGGTGAAAAATAACCTGAAGGATAATGACTGATTTCGACGCGGGGCAGTGCAAGTCACAAATAAGCTGTCCAACTGAGGCCGATTATTTTTGCACCATAAGCAGCTGTTTGGGATGGACTGTTGCGTCACAAGGTGTGGGCGCCTAAATCTTTAATATTTCCTTAAGGCGTCGAGGTTACACTTCAGGTCACGCTTTGCTCTCAGTTATTATTCTTCGTTCGGTACGTCACCGTAGCCGGGATGAAGTAAATACATTGTTCAGATGGCTAATATACTACTGTTGTTTTCGTTATGTCATAATTGAAATACCATGGTATTTAACTAAAGCCACACTATTAAATTTTATATATTTCTAAATCTGTATAACTGAAAACCTCAGAACGTGTGGTTCCCCTTTTCTATGGTCAAACATAATTTTAAATAAGCAGCTGTGTTGCTATACATAGATTCATGTACTAAGCAAAACCCATCTTGCATCCACGCAGTTCAATTTGTACGATTCATATTTTATAACAACGTAGTCCACTGAATTATATCCAGGAACACGTTTAGACTTCTGTAATTTCAATGAATTTAGGTGATGCTCTGAAATCTCTTACTAATAAAGTACTGAATATTTTCAAGCGAGTATGCAACATCCGTTTTAATTAAGTGCCTAATTAATTCATTATTTCACACTGCGCAGTGACACTCCTATTCACTAAATAGAAGTATAATTTAATCGTGCAAAAGCGCTTCCGCTGCTAAGCACTATCGTAATACTGGGTGCCTACGTTAGCCACCCAGTAAGGAAGATGCAATCAATTAGGTATTAATCACAACTATACCATTTAGCCTATTCTTTATTTACTCTCAAAAGCTCCCTTGCGAAATGTTCCTAGTTAAAAATCTACGGTTTTGGACATTTGGTTACCAATAACATAATGAACAGTAATCAGATTACAAGTGTGTTATTTATAAATAATTCAGTAAGTACCAGTTGTTATCCTTCCAATCATCGGTGATTCACAATGAGAGTCATGATAAACCTTTGTCCCGATTCAGCACTGGCAGATTAAAAATTATGATCATATCATAAGCCAAATGATATAAGCTTCGAATATTAAGCGCTGTTCAGTATCTCCAAAACAATGTTATCTATATTTATTAAGTAACTAATAACTAAGTATTAGCAAACAGTAAGCGCTCCAATATCGCCAACATAGGTTATTAAATCTCGCTAGTACATGCAGACATGTGATCAGCATCTCTAAAATGTTTTGATCAACCCGGCTTAATGAGAAATAAAATCAACGTTGCGAGTTACCGAAAATATTTTGATATTATCAGAAACGTAAGTCAGTTATCGACATGTTTATAATAAAATATTTTTTACAAACAAGAAAATCGCATGGTGAAACGGCGCTTAACATTCGCTGGCCATTGTATTTTAGTCCGAGGAAAAAGCTACCATCTGTCTTACATTTCCAGTACGTGCTTTGCTTACTCGGTTAGGATATAACTATCCCCATCTAATAAGCATATCAGGCGACAAGGAGAACAAAATCTATTTTGCTTACTACACATTCATCACTGTTTCAAATTTGCGCCTTCATTTTTTTGCCTAGCGTACATTCAAACGCAAACCTCTAAGCTAGTTGACGCATTCAAACCATGTCCAAAAAAACACACAAAAGTTAAATCTATTTTTATAACGGTCTCGGCATATATGCAGAGCTTTTCAGTTAAAATTAAATTACTACCTTCGTCTTACACTACTACTTTTGTCGGACGCAAACGTTAATAAAAATATTTTAGTCTAACTGAGTAGGTTAGTCATATAAATAAGCTTTCAGTATAAAAGTTTGTCTTATCTCCACACATTAGTCTTTCATTTTTCATAACGCCACATATTATTGTGCCAAATCGGATTTTCACTAGAACACCATGCATGGTAAATGCATTAACTACAACTGAGGTGAATGTTCCCATGTAGTTAACTCTATAGTTTCAAATATACCTTGATGTAATACATATTTTACAAAGTGTGAACACGTAATTCTCAATCTTCTTATAAGAAACGTAAGCCGTCGGAAAAATGCCATATACCTGCTGTACAAATTATTAAATGGTATTATCTCAAAGGTGATCACGGGTCCCTTGAAAGCAACATTATAATCTGCACAGCAACACATCTTCTACTAAAATATATTTGCTCGTAACCTTTCTCCAACGTCGATCAGTGGATCCTAGTTTATGAATGTATGTCATAACACAGAATTCTCAAGTGCATTCGATCGACTGAACCGTCGCATTCTTCACAATAAGATGCAAGACTGTGGCATTGTTGAAGTGTTATTATATTACGGAATGAAATCTCATGCATAAATTCAGATAAATGACGGAGTTCAGCGCAAGTGTATTTCCCCTTTGAAGCAAAGTGTCGTGTACTTCCAAGGAACAATGCCTAAAGAAGTTTCCTTCATAATTATCATTAACCATATTGATGGTTTGTTTCAGCCGAACATAATAATATTTGAAAATTTCATGTTCTGGCAACGAAACAGCATATTAGACGACCACAAGTAATTATGCAGCTATATCGACAAGATCTAAAAGTGATAAACTCACAAATGACAAAAGTACATTTGATAAGAATGCACGGTTTTGAGACTGCGCTATCAGCACGTTCCTAAGCATTGATTCTGGAAAAGTAGTTTTATCGTGCTACATATAGTTTTGCTAATTTCGCATTTGTACACGATTTATCTTGGCTGTTAGCAGTATAAAGTACCGGAATGAATTATATACAGTTAGCATACTGGCCTTCTAAGGAGGACATTTGAAATGTTCGAGCTTCCTAACTTTGCAAAGAATAAGCGCTCATGAGAGGTTTTAAGCAGAAGGTGCTATCCAAGCCTGGCCCCACTACAGGTAACAAGACGCTGTACACGAAGCTTAACGATGTAGAGTTGCTATAATTCTTATGAACTGGTTTAACTTCTCTTACCGACTACAGTTGTGAAGATCAGTGAAAGCGAAGCGACTCCGGTATGGTTCATATAATAATACGAAAGCCCACTGTGCATTCAGCAAGCAGTTACAGTTCCGTTACAAAACAACCTAAAAGCCACCAGCATAAAATGTCCACGCATTGTACCCGAATTTAATTATAACATTCTGCGCTCTTCAAACGCAAGCCACTTTGTCCCCATGTGAATGCATTTCAAATGGCGTATTGTGGGACACGCAATCCAATTTGATAAAATTGAGGTTGAATGTTGTATACAGAAAAATTAGCCGAAATAAAAATATGCTCTACAGTACTCGCATCAACATATTAATAAGAGACCTGTAAATGCATTGATGTGGCTAAATTGGTAACTGAAACAATACCCAAGTGCTTCATGTTTAGGTAATATTTTTTATTTTTCTATACTCATCACTCTACTCCTATTACCAGTTAAAAACGGTTCAATTTCGTTCATTACTAAATAAATGGACGAAATGCTACTAGAACATGATCGTATAATTTTATCAGTTTTATGACATTATCTTCCTCGAGGCATGGCATAGAATATAGCCGACCTGGAATAAATGCAATCTGTATATATTTATGCAGCGTTACACTCACATAAAACTGCTTCGAAGCTGCAACCATGGTAAACTAAGACAATCCACGGGTACTTTCAAATACTAAGCATTCGCCTTAGCAACTTATATTCAACCGCGATTTGTGGTGACTTGTACATTTAATCATGGATCAGGGGGCCAGCCGCGTCTTCTGCACGATCATAGCATGCATATGAGTGATAGTTGGTCACGGTGTACTGAGTTTGAAATCAGTTATGGCGATTGGCCGCTAACACCTAGTGGCATAAATCATTTACTCATAAGTGGTGGGTCATTTTCGGACCTAGCATTATATGGCTAATGTACTGCACTGCTGAGTCCCATTAGAGGAAAAGACCGCTCAACGGTTTGAAGAATATGTGGCTGCTGTCTGACTAAGTTCAGATATAACGGAACTTAACAAAAACACATTGAGTCTCCTGAGGCACTCGAAAGTTAAATGAAATTAGACAGGTGGATATCAATTTACTTAGTTCACTCATATGCGCAGCGGTGAGTTTGCAATGGTTTCGTTTTACAGAAATCGACGCCAACTAATTTCAAACAGCCAACCTGCATGACAAAGTGTTTGACTTTGTCTGATATATAACCACTGACCAACCCGGTAGGATTAGATCTTACGACACTCGGAGGCACAACTCAATAAAGCTAAATGCCTCAAGTATGTTTGCAAACCGTAGCACCACGTTAATGTCCAGTCTCGATGAATTAATTACAATACCATAAAGGATTGTAATTGAGTGTTTCCCGCCCGAAAACAATGCACAGAATGACGCCTTTTGATCTTTTTTGATAGCTTCAATTAGAATAGTATGCCGCGAAACTGCAGGATTGGAATGTTGGCAGCAATTTTACCATTCAGCCCCGACGGGCCTCGCTTGACACAGCGGTTATTGACTATGCAAAATTCATTATTGTGTTGTAATTTGATTTCGACGCGCAACCTTAATGATGTCTGCGGTTTTCATTACAGTGAATCCCGTTCAATGCGATTAATAGGAAAGTAGATAAAGCGTATTTTTTCCGGTGTATTCTGCCGCAAAACACTGCGATTCTTGTAATATGCTGGTGGTTAAAAGGGTAGTGATCCTAATTAACCTCGCAATGGTCCCGGTTTTGAGGATTGCTAGCTCGGTCTAATGAGAGCAAACAATCCTGAAACGCATATGGTGTGCTGTGTCTCAGGCGGGCAACGTCTTTTTCTCATACGATTCGGGTGATCGAATAGGCCGAGATTCGCTTCCAAGGAAACCAAAGTACAAATGGAGATGGCGATTCGCAATACACTCACATAAAAAGTACCTGAACACGTCCCTACAAAATGTAAGTTAGTTTTCATAGCAGACGGAAAACGATTTCGTTAATATGACTTACTTTGATAAGAGCACCGACGGCCTCACTTGTGTACTCACTGGTATCCTCATTGTTTACGCTTAATATCTGGTCATTAACCAGCAGTCGACCGTCAGTTGCTGCAAGCGATCCACGAATCTAAAATAGGTATTTTAACAATGCATGGGTTCAGATTTATCCTACAAAACACAACCAAAGAAAACAGAAAATATTACTCATTCTATGCAACATTGTCTAAGATTTTAACGTAAAAGCTGAGACACACGTCATGGTTGTTCATATTTCTGCCTCAATCGAAAAAGTTGTTGGTTAATATATTTATCACAGCAGGCAAAGTTTTCTTCATTGTGGGTTATACAAAGAATAATTCGATTACAGGTTCATTCGTAATCGTACGATATGGCTAACGTATAGCGTACCGTTAATCCAGTTAAAACTATTTTAAAATAGTTGCTTACAAGAAATTATAAAACTAATATTAAAGTGGCTTGGCCTAAACGCATTACCAAGGGATAAGTTTGTGTGAGTGCATTTGAATTTCCTGTCATCTCATCCTAACATTTGCCTTTTCACTCAGCACTCAGATCTTACAAACTATTAAACATTGCAAATTTTATGAGCACTTTTTAGCAGCAATTACAGAAGGCGACAGCTGATGAATCGCTTACGAGCTCACTATCAGTATGGCGTTTACACTATCTAGTGGCTGTTATACCGGTAGTAATCTTCTATGCTAGAGTCGAAAAACGCAGAGTTTAAGTTGGCTCATTTTTAATTATCTTTGGCGCCGTTATGCATTAAGCAAATTGTAAAAATCTGATGTACAAGTGTAGTTATTCATTGTACCAATATAGTTACGGCTTGGTACATCCATACTGACAAAGGAAACTTCCACTCATCTACACGATCCCTGTAGAAGGTTTCATTGCGCCGGTTTTCATATGTGTATAAGGGTTGCGCAGCGCGCATTTGTTTTGCGTCGATTCTTTGCGCACGTACAAAAACAGTTATGCAATGTTGCACTCATTGGCGCTGGTCATACGGTCAGCTGTTGGCTGGTTGCCTTTTCGCATACAGGCCATTCTATGCTATTGATAACAGGTGCAGTAGTATCTGCGTTTAGTCCACTACAGCCATCGGAAAATAATAATGTATGTGATGTAAACTTTTAGTATGTATTATGAGTCCAGTTTGTCGAAACTAAAGAAAGCCCTCTTTAAACAAGTGCAAAACAGAACTTAGAATAGTTTAGACAAATGTTTATTACTTTTTGTTTGAGTTTCAAATACAAAGGTGTAAATAATATTTGGACCATTCTTTGGCAGTTATCAAGAACCTATTTGCATTATTTTAAATGTGCTCTCTATTTCTACTTCACGGCCTTGTGTCGGCAACCGTTTTGAACTAAATAGTGAGATTTTCGAATGGTCAATTCACCAATATATCACACATGAACCATTACCCTAAGAATATCCTAAAGCTCTTGTATGATGGACTGAGATTTTGCTCCACTACATATATTCACAACGAATTACAAGTAGCTGCTGCTGACTAAACAAGTCACCATTAAGATATTGGCTGGTTGACAGCATTAGAATACATACCAGGGAAACAAAATTTGCTGAAATTAAAGTAGGGAACGTCGGCGGACAATCAAACGACATTGTGTGGCTCCGATATGCAACAATCGCTTAAATTCAAATAAATCTACTTTGGCATATCACAGGTGCCTAGAAATGGTCAAAATTCTTATATAGTAAAATAGTTGATAATGCATTAGCTATTACATTCAGGAATGCATGTGAAAATTCCAAGCGAAAGCGTGCGTCAGTTCAAATGAATTTATCCAACTAATTGCGTACTCCGCGTTGAGATGTTTCTAGGCGGAAGGGATGACAAAATTATTCGGGATTGTGACAACAGCAAAAAATTCGAAGGGAGAAAAGCACTTTGTCAAGTGTACCACTGTTTGTTCACAATAAAATATTCGACATGCATAGTACAATGAGAATCCAAAAAACATCAGTAAATGTATAGAAGCTTTTGTGTATTTATATTCCGCGAACATCCTATAAAAGTCTCCTTGATGAAATCGGATGCGACAAAAGTACACAACTCTTGCGTATAGCAAAATGCGTACACAAAATTTCGTACGGAAAGAAGCGTGCACAGAAAAATACGCACGCGAAAAATTTCGCCTTGGGTGAGGGGCGCACCTAGTATATAGCGAACACGGAAATATATATGTTCGATCGCTTCGCACATAAACGACTGCCCTAGGTGTCAAATGCCCAACGACTACTTCACAATAGTCAACAGGCAGAATACTTTTGGTACCATGATGCCAGACCTTCAAATAGGGCAGTCGTCGTTCTTCTTGGATTATTTTACGTTACCGACTCCGGATTCTGTACTTTATTTTTAAACTTGAAGAGCTTTGTTTTTTCTGAGGAACCTCAGAACATGTTCTAGTCTGTCAACCATTCGAGAACATTACGTGTTAATGCTTTAAATACGTGCTTCATCAAATACGGCCCTACATTCAGAAACATCTTCAAACGTATGAGGAATAACTGTCTAAGAAAAAGCGAAAGCATCGTGCAAGCTGGCAATCTGGCCTCAGCCTTTGTTCTGTCGACAAAGCGTAAGTCCCGCTGCTAATTTCCAGTAGTGTTCGCTCGCTCCTTGATAAAATCAGTGATCGCAATGCTATTATGTAGCGAAATTGGTAGGTTCATATAGACAACCTTTGTTACAAGAAAGCTGGTTGCATACCCGATGGTTTTTTCCCATCAATTCTGACCACTCCGGAAAACCCCAGTTTCGTGGTGGTGGTGGTGGTGTTAAGACTTACGTTAATCAAACGTGGTGCAACTCAGCAATCGTAATATTCACATATTCCACGATTTCGTTAATCGTTAAATGCAAATGAATTTTCTAAAGGGACTTTCGACCATGCATCGCTGGAAACGCGTACATTGCTCCAGTCGCATGTGCATCTAAGTTAAAGCTTATGAGGACAAACTTTCTTCAAAGCTACTGCTGTGAATATATTGTTCTATCTCTTTCGTCACGTGCGACTTATGTAGGGCAGATGCAACATTCTTGAAGGCAATGGGATTGGTAGACCTACTGAGAGTTTCGACCCCACACGATGCCAAGTTGAACGCTGTGTTCAAAATAAACTACAGCTGTTTGACATACTAAAGCTGGCTGCTTTGAACAGCTCAGACTATTGTATTTTAAGATGTTGTCCAGTCATATACAGCAGGTATAATATTTTAACTCTGAGCAGAAGTCTTTATAGTATTCTGTTGCCTGGTTATGGCATAAATCACTAACATGCTGCGCGAGCCACTGTTAGAGTAACCATTTTGCCTTTATTCAGTTGCCTTTTTCCCATTTGTCTTCCCAAACAAGAATTTTGATATTATCTTCCAGGTGTCCGCAGTCGTGGTTTAAATGCTGAAAACGAACCCAATCTGGTTCAAAAAGCTTATTTTGTCCTGAGTTGACTAATGCTCGCCTACTGCAGTTCGTTGAAACCTCAGCGATTCGGTGGCTCTAACGCATTTGGTGTCACTACACCGAGTCCGTTGGTAATTTATGGAGGCAGGTCCGATGGGTAGTCCAGAGGAATAAAAGCCTGAACCGATACAAGTATAATCTATATGGTGAGACAAGTGAATCGTACTGCTTAGGGAAGCGGAATAGCAGCACATGTGCAGAAGTGCGAAGGATTCAACTGTGGGAGTATTTTTCGGTTTATTGAAATGGCGTGAACTGACAGTTCACATTTCCAATCCGTTGTAAAGGTGTGCAACGGAAGCGGCACGTTCGATCACCATTGTGCACACCCTACTGTAACAAACCGAGTACATCTGCATACTTCTGCGGATTTTCCGTCTAAAGTTTATACTGTGTGAAAAATTTCCTATGTGGGCATAGTTTCATGCGTAATATCATTGTGAGTATGTGGCTATCGGGCATTTAAAGCCACCTCATAAAACCATGGCTAAGCTAGCTAAAAACTCCACCCAATAACACCAAGTGCGTTGGGCCACCGAATCGCTGAGGCTTCGGCAAACTGCTGTAGGCGAGCATTAATCTCAGAGTATTCTGTATGATTCATGTGACATATGGCATCCAGGATAGTCGTTTATGCTTGAAGCGATCGGACTGATGAATTTCCGTATTCGCCGTACACTGTGTGCACCATTTTCCCAGGGTGAACTTTTCTGTCTAGGCATTATTACGACTACAAAATCTTTAATGTACGCAATGTTCTTGTAAGCATTTGTTCGTGTACGCACTTTCTATGTAGGATTTTGCTCGTGTACGCATTTTGCATGTACATTGTTTGTTGTACGCAATTTTTGTGTACAAATTTGTGTATGCTTTTTTGCTCACATCAACAAAAGGCACATCGTGTATGTGAGAATTTTCGTGAGCTGCCAAATCTTTTTGCCGCCGTGCCTGCTTTCTGACTCATATTTGACTATACAAGTTTAGCGATTTTAATGTTACTTTATTTCTTCACCGTGGAATGGTTCTTGAAGCGGGCGTGTATCCAGGCCTACCTCCGCTTTTGTCCACTATAGGCAAATGCAATGCAAGCATAATAAATGGGTGGTAAAATAATAGCTCACCAAATCGATTATTATAACTCCGTACGACGGGGTTATTTCATTAGAATGCCTTTCTATTTGGTTATTGCTATCGCTTTGAGTTTTTGCTAAATATACACAACGGTCAGCGATGCAGAGTCCAAGTCCCCTGCCAGCCTTCTTTGTTAATTCCACAACGAGTTCCTGGTCATACCAAGTTGCTGCTGGTTGATTAGGCCTTAACACAGTTAGTCTGAAGTTTGGCCTATCAGTAACACCAGATGATGATAGGTTCTCTTCGTCTTCAATGTGAAGGGGTCCTGGAATAGCCTGGCTGTATGCAGTATGAATTCGCTTCACAGCCTCGTTGAAGGCAACACCAACTAAATTGCTTGAATTGACCCTCAGAATCCTATCGCCAGGACGTAACCGACCGTCTCTCACTGCGCAACCATTGGCGTATATCTCATGAACAGCGATGTAGTTCTGTGAAAGAAGGCAGAAAAATATTTATTACGGCACGCTTTCAGAAACATAAAAATTGATTAGGAGAATTAAACCAGTCTGGTTTACTTAATTTTAATTTCATATCATTTGCAAATTAAGCAGTTAGCTCAGAACGCGATAAAGAATGACGATGTCCACTTTTGCTTTAACCTTTGGATTCTACAATAAGCAAAAAAGATTTTTTTGCAGTAGACCAACGTCGTTGCAGTATGAAAGAGAGGTTCTTGTTTGTGATCATTGGCACTGTTAAGAAAATCATCACGTGGCACGTTGTCATTCTCAACGCAAATTCGCTTGCAGTTGGGGCCAAACAAATATACGTTGCTTTCAGCTCCTCTTCAATTAGTCGTAATGATGGATATGGATTTGGGAATAATGCACTACTTATGTAATGATCTAAATTGTTTTAGAATCTTAGTACCTAAAATACAAGGCAATTTCCTTTCCATCCTGAAATAACACATGGAAATGCAATAGGAGTGTGTTTTTGTACTCACCAGCGACGTCTCTGATCCGCCAATGAATCCAATACCTAAGCCAATGGAATCCACTACACGAAGTTGTATCTCTGTCTCAGTTCCGGGTGCAATCGGACGGATATCAGCTGGTTGGCACAAGTCGGCGAAACTTATGTCGTAGGATCTGTACACACTTCCACGGCTACTTGATGCAAGAGCACAGCTTGGGATGAGAGAATGAGTTCTGGGGGATGTGCGCAAGCTGGGGAAATAACTGAGTTTCGCCTTGTCCGATGGAAGAACAGGTGAGCTCGCTCTTCGAGAAATCAAAGTTATTCGTGCAGGCGAAATAACCTTCGTGTCACCTGTGAATGAAATTAGCGGCAGACGTAGTAAACTACATATGAATGTCTAGTTAATAAAACAGCTTATCAAACCCGTATATCGGTTGCATTTTGAAGTATCCCGAATATTTATAAGATTTGAGATACATTCAAGTTGTGCTCAATATTAAAAAAATGCCGCACGTGTATTTGCAAAGCGAAACGCATTCGTTCGTTCATAACCAGCACAGCGATTACTCGTTGTAAGCGACCGCTTCCGCAGATAAATCTGTCATGTAGTAAAATATATATAAATAAATTTCTCAAAATTAAAACATCTAGATGCAATTATTTTTACATACTTTTGCAGTTATTGCTGTTATACTGCAAAAGTTTTGGTGTCAACCTTTCTTTAACATGCAGATATGTGTCGTTTAATCACCCATACGGTCAAATCATTTGATTTTATCCTACTCCTTGATACTAAGCAAAATTTATACATAGGCAACTGGCTAATTCCATAATCCACTTTGTGTAGTTAAAACTGCAAACGCCTATCGCTCCTGTGACAAGACGTTTTAGTTGTCTATGTTTGCTTAATATTTAATTTACTCAAAAATGTTGCAAATACAACTCTTCTAGAGAAGTAGATGTGTTTGTTTATATTAAGTATTAAAATTCGGTTTCTGCCTCAGCTATATTAGCACATGTTCTTCATGCCATGTTGAAACACAATTGATTCAATGTAACACTTTAGTCTAACCCGCCGAATAAGAAGATACGTTGGCGCAACTTTACCTGATAATTGACAAATTAAATAGGTTTGCTTAATGTTACGGTTTGATGAAAATTATGCTTTTTTCTTTTACAAAATATATTGAGCTTGCTAGATTTAAAGTTATACGAACAATATGTTATTGACCATCGTCACTTTTGTATGTCTGATGGAAATATGGTATTAGAACAAGAAGTATAATTATGGTTTTAACTGGATTGCTACTGATGCGAGGATAAGCGCATTATAGTTGTTTCCAGGTTATTATTTTATTAATAGACTAAATAAGGTGTGAATACCTGAAGAATTTGTTCGCTTCATATACATATGTAGCACTGACGGTCGGCGGACAAATCATTAAGTCTATCATATTATAGAGGTGATGTTCAGCATGGGTCTGTTAGTAAAAGGCTCATTTTTGACTGCTTAAAGGTTCTTGCACCTACGATTACGTATGCCGTTCAAAATTTCTTACTTTCCGATGAAGGTAGTGAAGCAATTAGATCAAAATGCTCCTGCTGCTCATGTGTCTTGGTTGGGTGCCTGCACTAATCATTACTAAATAAATAACCGTTTTATTCCTCGACATTGCGAGGCACAGACCAGTTGAGTGGTTTATCGACATGTAAAACGCCATCACATAATTTAGTTAATTGTACCTGTTTCGTTCAATGGTTCCCATATGGGTTTTTAAAGTGATTAGCAGTTTTAAAAGGTAGATATTAAGAAACTGGGAAAATTGATAAATGTTGATTTTACGGAAAATTCAAGTAAAGTAATACGGTCATCCATGAAACTGTCCCCAGGGGACTTTCTTCCATGCAGGGCATTCCCACTACAATTTTCACAAGCACTTCCATGCTCCAATTGGCTCTGTGCCTGCGTGGCAAAATAGTAAATAGGCCATCAGACTGGGTATCAAATGTTATTTTAGGGCTGCTTTACGCAGACATTATAGGCGATGAAGCCTCAGCCCATTCCGTCATGCGGATCAAGTGTGGCTCTTTTTGTTTTAATCCAGCGAGTCAGTAGCAATATGATTTGCATTGGTATACTTCTTTATTTTGGAAGCTGTAATCCGTAACCACAAGAGATAAGTCCAGTCTTGACAAGAATGAAACAAAGAAGAAGATAAAGTATGGGGAATTAAAAACATAATAATGAATACAAACGCTTGCAGATAGGCCAATCACAATTCGATGGAAAATCTTGATGAGTGGCTACGATGGTACAGAGACATCAGCTTGAAAGGCGTAGTGCAGCTACAAACCAGTGCGTCAAAGGAAAAAACAGAATTGGTTAGACAGATTGATAGAAGTTAGATCGTTTATAAATACATACCCAAGAATTGTAGATGGTCTTATAATATTGAAACGAATAGAGGATATGGCGATTTTCATATGTATCCAGGACCTTTCTCATACAAATCACCTAGAGTCATCGTTTGGCCTAGTGTTTCGCCAGATATTTGCAACAGTCAGCTGAATATTATTCATGCATCTGAATTGCGAATAGATAGGGCAGTTTCTAATATACAATGGAAGTTTGTTCCATTTTAACGCATATCTCACGGATAAAATGTTCGAGCAGAGCTTTGTGCGACTTTGGTATTTGCAGTGTGCTCTCGCTGTTTCTTACTTCATAGCGCATGCGAGACTGAAACTCGAGTTGCGGCTGAGCAGTGAAGCTTTACCTGAATAGTAAGCGGTATAGAAGGCTCAGCTTAAGTTTAATTCTGCGTAGTCATAGCGGCTACAGATTTAGCGCCTCGCAACGCTCATTGTATGTCATGGTATTATGCAAGTTCAAAAATTTCTTTTGTATGATCGTCAAATATTTGCTAGTGTAAGATATCCACTTTTCTCAGATTACTATTAACTATCGTACTCAACCTTTGGCCTAACACATATTTTAAAGGCTTGAAGCCTGGAATCCATCAAAATAAGAGTTCGACTTATGCAGGCGATCACTTTCCTGCAGAAGCCTGCAAGAATATAACATGTTCTAAAAGAATTAATGGGGCGGAATATCTTAGACCATGGTCTCGAACTGCGCCACACACAGGAATATGGGTATCTTTTAATGTAATAATGTTCAGAGAGGGGCCACAGCCGTGGAACAATAGTTTACACTTGTTACCGGTAAATTGCAACTTCCAGGAGTTAGTACAGAGCTCCAGTGCGGACAAGTCAGAGTGAATACAGGCTAAATTAGGACTAAATTGCCCAGGGGCGAAACAATAGACAATTTTAACAATAGGATTGCTTCCGGTAAGGGCGGAAATATTTGTTCCCAAATAAACCTAGCTCAGAATGGCTAACACGCATTTGCCTGCTTGTTTTGTGACTAATTATATTAAGACTGATCGGCCAAGTTTCCACAAAGTTTAGTCAACTATAATGACGTGCACATGAATAATTGCCGCAACATCTAACTTACAGCAGCGTATGACTATGATCTGAAGTCAAAGGCGCTTAGGAGACTATTCCAAAATCCGTTGGCAAACCCATTATTCTGACTAGCAGATTTGGTTAATAATTCTGCTCGTGCTTACTAGTTATGTCTTTAGTTGTTTGGATGGAAAGTAACGTGAATAAACTGACTGAGATTTCGGATAAAGAAGTCACGGTTTTAGCCTGAATAAAAGAGAGATTTGCCTAATGTGCACTTAGTCACAAGTAATTTATTAGATACGTATTCGTTTTATAAACAGCACTACATGCCATCCAATTAATCAACGCTTACATTAGCTCACAGTTTAACGTTATTCGATCATTAATGAATGCTATGCCAGATCCAACCCACTAAGATTTGAAGGAATATCGTTAGTCTATTCCCAAATTACAGCCCACATGTAAGACAGTTTAACTTTGGAAAATTACGTGATAATTTTTAGACCAAACTCGAATGTTCCAATCTGCTGTGATTGCTAATTTATCAGGTACATCCTGATATCTGTTGACATTCAGCTGATAGACGTACCGTATTCCGTGACCGTCTGTAACGGAAACCGTCTTGTGTTACTTAAATCCATCTGTTTTCCTGTGGGCGGTTGATATACACTTTCCCAATCGTGTGTCGCAGTTGTTGATCCAGATAAACTGTACAATTGAGGGGCCGACATGCGCTTAACTCCTGATGACACGGATCCGTTGGGACTGGTAGGATGCGGTTCAAATGACCAACGACTTATTTGAAGGCGTAGCTATGTAAAATGGAAAAAAATATTCATGAAGTGCAAATAGCTCACGCAAGCAATATGCAAATGATATATGCGGAACAAAAATGTTTCAGAAACGGCATACAATATGACTGTTGCAGTGTGTGAAAATTTAAATGATAAAGGGCGAGCAAAGTTTCCACGAAATAAAAGCAAATTTATACAAGTAGGAGGGTCCAGGTGGACAACCACCTAACCAACTGGTATCCATCGAACGTCGGCGTGCCCCAAGGCACTGTACTGGGGCCGATATATTTTCTGATCCATGTAAAAGATGTACCTCAGCCACTCCAGTCAACTTGTGCGTTGTTCGCAGATGACCTGAAGGTGTGGAAAATAATCCGCACACTCAGTGATTATGATTTACTTCAGCAGGACCTCAACCGCCTGTCGACATGGTCTGCAGAGGTTACCATTCCTGTGAACCCTGCCAAGTCGCAATTTATGAGGTTGGGTAAGTGTGAGCACAGCCGAACCTACACAGTGGCTGGTCAACCTTTGCATCCCGCGCCTTTCGTACGCGACCTAAAGTCAATTGACAACACGATTAGGCTGTACCGAAATAGCCTACGGATAATTTGGGCGCTCAGACGCAGCTTCAGCACTTTGTCCGAAGAGATTGTTACTCGCCTCTTCGTCACGATAATACGACCAGTGCTAGAGTACGGCTCTCCCGCGTATTGTTCCATCTCCACAGGCGAGGTAGAAAAGCTTGGACGGGTGCAGCATGTAGTCACCAGGCTGATTCCCAACTTACGAAGTATGCCATATGAAGACCGATGTAAGAAACTAGGGCTGTACACCCTAGCTTGTCATGTGTAGCGGGTTGACCTCATCATGACGCACCGGATATCACATCTGAGTGATCACCCCATCTGGAGACAACTGCTTCATCTGCGCACACCAAGCTGCATGCGAGGACACCGGTATAAACTTATTGTACAGAGTTGAAGCGGGTCGCTCACCAACTCTGTTTCGAACGCAGTGTGGTGAATGTCTGGAACGATCTGCCGCAACACATAGTAGAGGCGAACTCAGTCTCCGAATTTAAGAAGCTCGTAGACAAGAACTTTGCAGATAAAAAATATAGAGAGCGTAATGATAAATAAGGAGTATATGTCCAATAGCAATGAAGGATGCAACTACACAATGAAAGATCTAATCGCTGCTTCGAACCAGTATTCAGTATTCGGTATTCAACATTCTATAGTAAATCATCGCATGTATGTAGTTTGAAGGTAATACATTCGTTGGACATACAAGTTAATAAGAATCAACCGAGCAACCGCCATTTTGAAATAAAGTTGCAACATCGGCAAAGCTTAATTATCTATAGGTGCAGTTCAAGTTAGCGTTTTGGATCCGCTTTTATTTTTATTCTAATTTCTTGATCTCCTGGATAATTTTTTTCGGGGAACCATTCCGTTTTGCTACTGATGTTAACATTGCGTATCTTTCCGCCCCAGAGCTACGTAATCCTAATTCAGCCTGCATTTCTTTAGAGTTGTCTTCATTAGAGAACTGGAGAAACTCAGGGAATTTGTACTTTGCCAATAACAATTGCCATCTATTGCACTACGTCTATAACACACCACAGAACATCCTAACATTAAACCAGTCTCCTATTCCAGTGTCGGGTGAACTACGAGAGATTGATCCATGGTATTCCACTTCATATAACATTTTTAAAGATATTATGTCCTTACAGGCCTCTGCCAAAATAGACTTCGCCTACATAAAGCGGACGCTTTTCTTGGAGGTGCTTGGTCGTCTAACCTTTATAATGTGTGTTAAGCCGAAGCTTGAATTGTTTACAACAGTGAACAGAAATCTTGGAAACTCAAGGCATAACACTGAAAAAAATTCAAGGATCATTCGCAACCATGCTTAAAATGCCTGATATTTTGACTTACTGTGAGCGGTACGATGCTCTAAAACTGCAGCCGCGATGGATGCGCCGACTCAAAATAACTCTGTCTTCTCTACCACCTGCTATTCAGTTTAGGCTTTACATGCCAGTCACAATTATAACTTCAGACTCTCAAATGCTATCGCATTAGAAATAGCGAGCCATACTGCATATTAAAAAGATTCGAGCCAAGCCCCTCTCAAAATTTTTCTCAGTAAACATTATTCCTTAATATGGAATAAAGTTCCGTCGAATAGGCGAAAATGCTATTTCTACCTGCAATTGCATTTGAAGATCAATGTTCACCTAACCTTTAGCAATACCTTATGAACAATTAGTCAATAGCTATTTTTAGTAGATTTGTACGAGCAAGTTCCAGGATACACATAAACATTACACTATCCCATAATGGTCCCAATATTATATTTTTGTCTTAACACGAATAAACTACTGCGTACTTATACACAATTCATATAGTATTCCCACCAATACTGCACTACCGTCTAATAAATAATATCTTCTTCCCATTTAATGCGTCGTTTCGAAGATATAATACGTCTTTCAAGCTGAAATCTCCGCACGGCCGACGATGTTCCCAATGCTTTTCCACAAAACTGTGCTTTGTCAATTAGCAAAAGATTGCAAACGATATTATACTTTTGATTCCACACACCACACATATTTTTCTTATTTTACTTTTGGCCAATATAGGGCTGACCTCTTGAGGTGTAATACTACAGCTTCAAAGACAACGCATACTGCCACCGACTCTCTGGCAAATAACAAAATATTGCCACAATTGAATGATCCACATGATGGACCGGGCCAAGGCTTCATCGCCCATAATGCATGCAAAACGGCTTAATTAAAAAATGACATTTATAAAACAAATGATGATTTACATTCTGTTTTTTCAAGGGCACAAGGATCTTTGGAGCATGTAAGTGCGGGTGAAACCCATCGAGGAATTTATCTGCATGGAAGCAGGTCCCCTTAACGTTTCATGGTGGCCGTATCAATGTGCTTATAATTTTAACCAAATCTGCTTTTATTAATTTAGCCTGATTCTCGCTCTATGTACTACTTAAAACCGCCATTCACTACAGATACCCAATTGGTACTTGTTGTACAAAACCTTAAAAAACTACTTTTATATGCCATCCCGAATGCTTGACTGATTGATTGATCAGTCCCTCAGTTGATTGTGACTATCACCGTCGAAAAATAATAGCTATATTTATTTATTTAACTAAACACGCTATTCATTATTCTGTGTTAGCAGTTTTTTGCGTAGTGTAAAAAACAAATATCTAAGTAAAAACAATATGGAGCGGGGACTACATAATTGTAAATGATCTCGCCATTGATAATTATTAGTTGCTACATGCATTTCACCGTTAATTTGGATCAGTTTCATGTTGCAATTCATTGAAATGTTATTTAGGTCACAATTGCAGCATTTCCTCAATTGGCTGCCAAATTTATGTAAAAACACATGCAATTATTTTGTCGACGAATAAGTAAATTCTCGGAAAATTATTTACAACGAAGATAATTTAGCATTTTTGGACAATAGAAAACATCCTGCTGGTTAGAATTGCTGGTTTAATCACCATTTAACTTCAAGATGTGCTTGCTATTATGAAAAGAATATCACAACTATTAACACATATTACTTCCACGGGAGGAAGGTGAAAGCGTACTGCATTTAAAGGTTGTTTTCAAATTGTAAGCTTTTAATATTAAGTGAGGCTGGACCTTACCGTGGTGCGATGGTTTGTGTGCCTCAGTGATCCATTGAGCTATACTGGGTGGTGCTTTTGCACCTTCAGAGCCACACATACCAGATTGGTCAATGGTTAGAGGCCAGACAAACTCAGCCTGCTGGTCCTCCAGGTTGGGGTTGGAATGAGGGTGGCTTCCTATTCCTTAAAACGGAATCCTTGTAGCCCAATGACAACCCGCTGCCTTGCGGACAGGTTTTTTGAACCAAAGGCTTTGGTTGAGAACCCTAATTGTTCTCCTGTCTAGGCCTGATCAACCTGACAGTATCCTGCCCACGCAATACAATGGATCGCACTTCAAACAAATTTCTGATGCTCTGGCCATCGCAGAGGATAATCAACGGTGCCCTATCTGCTGCATCAGGCAGGGTGGACAGGGGTTTGGATGCTACTGCTCAAGACATCCCATCTTCTTATTCTCCTTCTTGCGCTTTTTCAACCGTATCGTCCTGTTCCAGCTTCACATTTATCCCCCCTGTTTTCAACCCCCCAATTCTCGGCCCTCCCCCACCTTGCTTCCATATTCGCTTGTCTTTTCGTTTCAACTCACAGGTGAACGCGGAGCGTCATTCCTGCATGTCAACAGGCCCATGTCCAAGCAAGCGGACCATTCCAGTTCATCGGCTTATATTTGGAGCCCTCGGTCCTCCTTCAGACTGGCATGCCTCAATGTACGCACATTGCTTCAGATCGGTCAACAGGCTGCACTGGCCCGAACATTAGAGACCCTCTCGATCGAAATCTGCTGCTTATCGGAGACCCGCCTGCAAGATCCGAGCTCTGTACTCACTCTGCGAGCCACTTCAGGTGGCACTAGCAGCACTTTCTCATTGCGCCTATCCGGTGACGATGCAGCTTCGAGCACCGACCAAGCCGGTGTAGGTATTGCTCTGAGTCCCCGGGCTGAAGCTAATCTGGTTGATTGGATTACAATCAGTAGCCGGATGTATGCGGTCCGATTGCCTGGCTCGTTCAAAGCTTCGAATTCGCGTGGGACTAACAGGTGTCTATTCGTTATCGCTGCCTACGCACCGACAAACTGTAGCGATGACTCGGTAAAAGACGACTTCTATCGTCAACTGAACGAAATCCTTCGCCACAGAAGAAGCTCGGACACTGTAGTGCTGGCTGGGGATCTGAATGTTCAAGTTGGAAAATTGTCCACAGATGAGCTGCACCTGGGCGGCCAACATGGTATAGGCTCCCTAATGATAACGGTGAGCGGTTACTTCATTTGTGTGAGGATGCTCGCTTATTTCTTGCGAGCACTAATTTCAGACACAGCACCCGCCGGAGTGTGACTTGGCGTCCACCAGCCTCGAACCAGCTATGGACGCAAATCGATCACATTGCGATAAGTTACCGCTGGAGAGGCTGCATCCAGAACTGTCGCTCGATTTGGAGCACAGGTGTAGACCCCTATCATGCACTTGCATGTGCTGACCTGCGGATGCGCCCACGACGATGTTGTGAGCGCATTGACACCGGCAGACTGGCGAAGCCAGCTGTTCTGAATGCCTATCAAAGTACGCTGTCATCCGAGTTGGATAAACACTCACTGGATGCAATTGAAGCTCACTGGTCTCATATTCACCAGGCGTTACTAGCAGCAGGAAAATCCTCATGTGGTATGTCTAATCGCCAACATGGACCTTGGGTCTCTTCGCAGTCTCCGTAACTTATGGATGCTCGCCGGCATATTCCGGCTGGAAGCGAACACAATGAGACCCGCGAAGAGCTCCGGGCGAAACTACGTGCTAGTCTGAAGAGAGACCGCGAATCTTGGTGGTCTCATCGTGCATCAGAGATGGAAATGGCCGCTGCCCATGGTAACCATCGTGTGTTATTCGGTCTGATACAGGAAACAGGCAGCAGGAGACCAGGTGTTAGTGAAACTATACGTGACGAGAGTGGACAGCCTATCCTTAACTAATCAAAACGCTTAGAGCTTCGGGCTGAGCACTTTGGAAGGCAACTTAATCGGTCGGAATTGTTAGATTTCTCGCCGATCAGTTTTCGCCGTGCTCCGTGGGCTGTTTCTTTGGATCCACCCTCTCGCTCAGAGATCGAACGTGTGATCGAACTGTTGAAGTTAAATAAAGCCGCGGGACCTGATGACCTTCCTCCAGCCCACTTCAAATTCAGAGGACCATCTCTTGTGGATGATTTACACGCGTTACTAGTCAAACTGTGGGAGCATGAAACTGTTCCAACCGATTGGAGCCGTTCCATCATAGTCCCAATTTCCAAGGGAGGCTAACGATCGGAATGCGGCAGCCATAGAGGAATCAGCCTGATCTACATCGCCTCCAAATTGCTTGCCTCTGTCATCCTTCACAGACTGACTGGCACTCGTGAAATCCAGATTCGTGAATAGCAAGCTGCATTTCGTCGAGGTCGTGGCTGCATTGACCACATCTTCACCTTGCGTACATTGTTGGAGCACCGTCACATATATCGGCGGACCACCGTTGTCGGGTTCCTCGATATCAAAGGTGCATTCGATTCGGTAAATAGACATGCACTTTGGGACTGTCTACTCAGGAAAGGTGTACCTGAGAAATATGTTAATCTTTTAAGAGCATTATATGCGCGTAGCTCGGGCAGAGTGATTACTTAAGGCAAGTTGTCGTCGCCATTTAATATCTCCAGCGGCGTGAGACAAGGTTGCCCGCTGTTACCTTTTCTCTTCAACTTCGCTTTTGACGAAGTCAAAGAAATCGCTTTCACAGGACATGAATTAGAAGGTGTGGAGCTACTCCCAGGGGAACGACTTCTTGACTTAGAGTATGCTGATGATATTGCCCTGATCTGTGACAGCTCACAAACGTGCCAAGCGGCACTGGACAGATAAGCACTAGCTGTCCGTCACTTCGGGCTTCGCTTCGCACCCTCAAAGTGCAAAGCGTTTCTCCAAGATTGGTCTGGAGCGTCTCCTACGCTGATCCTTGGTGGGGATCAGCTAGAAGTCGTTCAAAAATTCAACTACCTGGGAGGTTGTATCAGCGCCCGTGGGATTGAAGATGAGATCATGAATCCTATAGCAAAAGCTCGGGACGCTTTGCTAACCTTTGCCACTTATGGCGCCGGCGCGACATCACTCTTGCCTTGAAGGATAGAGTGTGCAATGCAGCGGTACGTTCAACCCTAATGTACGGTTGTGAAACCTGACCGCTTAAAACACGGACCTGAAGAGGCTAGTTACGTTCGACCACCGGTGCCTTCGTAATTTAGCTCACATCTGGTGGGAACACCGTGTGAGCAACGAGCGTGTCCGACGCCTTGTTTATGGCACAGGAAAAGGAAATGAACCACTCAGCACAGTTATTTCACGCATCAGGCTCCTACGGCTGGGTCACTTTTTACGCATGCCAGCCCACCGACTCTCTCGACGTGTGTTGTTTGCGCGCCGGGGGTGTGGATGGAAGAAGCGGTGGGGTGGCCAAGTGATGACTGGGTCCAGAGGAATGAAGGCCCTCACTTCTGAGCTGGCCTAGGTTGGAGCGTGTCGGCTCCCTGGTTGGGGTCCGAAAGACGATGAACACGTGTTTTTGGACACACTTGCTGATTTGGCTAGGAGCCGACCTCAGTGGCGTTCGTGCTGTGAGATTCTTTGTCCCACCCCATCCATCTTAGCTTCCCCTCCAACCACGATCTCATTATTTAGCCTTGTATACTTTTGCCTAAAAATTTTTTATGATGCACAGCAGCCGGCTGTTAGCTTACCGGAACGATTCCCATCCGTTACCGGTAGCTCAGCCAGCTTTCACCAGTTGTCTTTTTCTCTCCTTTTTTCTTTGTACTGCGGCAGAGTAGCTGAGGTGTTCCCCACCTCTAGCTTACGTGTATGATGATTATGATGATGATATATTAAGTGTACCGCCTAAAATTGTCCGAGATTGAGGTTTTAAGACCCGGCCATTAAAACACGCAACAATCGCTGTAAGATATCAGTTGAGTGAAATCAGCCTCCATTTTCTAATTAAGGTACAATTTGGCATCGCCTGAAAGAGCCATATGATCCATGACCTAAATGCAATTGTGTTGTATATAGATGAACGAGAGTTTTTGAGCCTGGCGCAGATATCAGAGGGCGCGGCAAACCAAATATACTTTTATTATCCATATTTCCTACTTCATTTTAAGTAAATACATATTACTAGATTTTATATTTTATCAGATTATGCAGTTTAACTAATTTTGCTATTTAGCGGTACTGAAGACATTGTAATATATTTCAGTGATAAAAATAGTTTTAACCTAGTTTACGCCACGAGCTGAGATCCACAACATTTGCTTACTACATTGCATGAAAATGAAATTTCATGTGCCATAGTTAAACGTTGGGTGCGATAAATTAGGCGAGACAAGGAGAGTATTGAAGTTGATCACAGGACATTCATAAAGCACATTCGAATCCAGTCGGCAAAGTCCACTAATTACTAGTAGCATATAAAACGCTATATATATCAGCATGCACTATCCTACCACCCAAACTAAAGTGTATGGAACCAATCGATCATTACATGGTGTTTATACAAATTGCAACGTTCTTTATCATATTTGGGAGGATTTGTGCTTAGATAGTTAAAACTGACTATGGAAGAAAGGTATGTTGGGAAGAAGTGTTGATAAAAATGTTATGTAATAAAACGAGTCTCGGTTGTTAATATTGATAGCCACTGGGCCACAGTATTAGCAAACTATTGCCTGATTCTCAGATAATAAAGCATCAACTATAAATAAAGGAAAAGGAAAATTATTACTTAACTATTCGCATGTTGTTGAAATCGCCATTCCTGCAGTTAACTGAACATTTCAGAAATTAATAACCAGCATAATGTTCATAATTGTTAATGTTTACATATTTGTACACTCATCTTGGTTTATAATTTAAAACAATGATATTTCTTCCTTAAAATTTATATGCAGGTGTACGTAAACCTGCGCGCGTTTACGTATATACCAATTGTAACATATGCCTAACATTGACAGTCCAATCGCGACGTATTTGTCTATGTCAACAGCGCATTAATCAACTTCAATATATGCGTAGTCGCCGACTAATAAGCACAGTTTCACGGTTTCCATTCACGGAAGAATTAACAACTGGTAATGATTTCAATAAATTATACAGCATCACAAGCGAATGCAGCAATAGGGTTCATGTATGAAGTTGGTTTATTCAAATATACCTCGAATTCAATGCAGCTTGCTTACCTCATACTTCGCCGATCGAATCCATTCTAATACAAGGTCATATGAAGCGTTTGTGACGTCTTTCCCATTTATTCTGATGAGGCGATCTCCAGGGCACAACTGCCCATCCTAGGTGAAGATTAAATATAAAGATGCAAAAGATATATTAACCAGCTTCACAGTAAGCCTAATCAATTATTCGGCAGGAAGAATTTCTGAAACTAATTCCGAGTATCTCGAGTGCAAAAAAACAAGTTATTTCTTTTTCCAAAATAATCCAAAGTTCTTGGATGTACGACGTGAGTGGATATTGTTTATACATCTTTTAAATTGTGGTACTATATTTATTTAAACTTAATTTCCAGTTCTGTTAGTAACCGAATATTTGGATGATAGCCGAGCTAATTATTATTGCCATGCTGTCTAATACTTCTGGCAGTTCAATAGAAAAATTATCACTAGTGTACAGTTTATACATCATGTAATGAATCCTGCAAAACACAAGTGGTAACAGATTTTGATTAAAGGATCTGTTAACAATCACAAGTCGGGGCTAGTATAGTTTAAATTTCGTTTATTATTTGCTCCCTGACAAAAAGCTCATAATGTGTGTGTCCTAAAGCCACTAATGCATGACTTTAATTTAAGACTACCTCGTACCTCCACGTGCTCACCTTAGCTGCAGGTCCGCCTTCAACAATTTGCTTCACATGTATTCCCTTCCCGTTTGCTTGGTTGCTCTCCATCACAGAGAATCCGAAACCACTCGGACCCTATAAATGGGAGCTGTACTAGGTTGCAGGACAAGAGCAGCGTCATAGAAACTGAAATCTCAAAATATTAGTGTAATGATGATTAGTAGATGAAGGAGTAAACAGTTGACCTATACATTCGACTTAGGAAAATGATACGTGTGTTTTACCGTATATCTAATGCTTTCATACCTATTAAGTGTATTATATAATCCTGCTGTTCATTTTACCCAGAAATGCGATGCTTATGCTTTGCTGTTGAACAAACAAGTGCTTTCGAATTTCTAATCGAACTCCAGTTTGATCAACATAATCAGTCATCCTGTGGTGTGGTAATTTGAAATATACTCCTAACCATTAGAGGTCATATCAAGAGTTATTAAGAATAACAAAGATTGAAACAACGTACTTTGATTAAACGTATGGTCAGTGTTTCCTGTACCAGTGTCCGGTTTTTTTCTTCATACCGCATATTTGGCATCAGCTCGAAAGATCGGCGAGTCTGACCGTTCATAGGAATCTTTATCGGTGTTGAGAGTGTACTGAGAACTGTGTCTGTACTGCTCCTTCTGCTGGATAGGGGTGAGTTAAGCTGCGCGGATAAACGTTACAGTGTAGAATATATGTAACTTAGTTAACCGTAGAAAGCTATGTTCCAACGCTGCTGGAAAACGAAAGAATTTATATGCATTTATTTGACGACACACTCTTTAACAGTAGATGCTATAAAAGATCCGATACCATCATACTGACAGTCAAATTTATAATAAGGTTTCAAGCAGAGACTAAAGTGGAGCTTATGAATGAAGACAACCTAACTAATGTAAACAAAAATACAACGATTGTTGAGATAAACTACAAAGTAGCTCGGCCAATCTCAACGAAATAGCCTTAAAAGCTCCAACAGGTAACAAATAATCTACATCAATAAAATATACGTTATTACGCGCCGAAGTCCAGTTCATAAAATTTCACAAAGGTGACCGAAACGCTGAGTACAAACCAAAATGTTAAAAAGATGAGTAAACGGAGTAAGATAATGGTATTAGGTGAAAAACCAAGCTATACGAACGTACAGAGGTGCATTCACTTTCAACACTAATTTAAAATTGTGATGTTTAGAAAATATTGTTCACATTTGGCAAAAATTCCAAATGACTTTGACTGTTAAGAGGTGTTCCCGAGAGTATGAACAATGTATTTCCACAAGGGTTTTGGTCGAATTTTGTGCCCAGACTGCAATATCACCAAAAAATACACTACATCACCGGGCAGCTCCTGCATATGCAATAGTCTGTCCTGCCTGGCTTTTGATTGTAACCATCATTCATGTAGTCGGATTAATGTTTCTTGACTGACCATGGTGTGCATTCATTAAAGGGCGCAACGTTACGTTTACGTGGGCCTTTAAGATTTGTTTCGGTCTTTGCTATCAAAACAACAATATGATGTTTTCTAACAAAAACAAACGCTGCAAAAATTGGCTAAGTGACTTGTAGTTCCTGTATCTACTCCAGGCGCAACTAAACGAGCTTACGGAGCATTGCAGTAGTATTAGTTTGCCTCTTCGCAAGCATGGAAAAATAATGCGGTTTGGTGAACAGATATGATGAATCTTGGGCTAAACGGAACATCAGGAGGTACTATTTGAAGTCACAGAACAACAAAATATGTGCAGCTACTGCGAGAGACTGAGGCAATATGGGAAATTTTAGGAAGCTGGTGAGCCTTATTAAAATGTGATTATTGAAAGCGTTACCTAAGATTACTAGGTGTGGGACTGCTCGACGCTGTTTTAGAATTATGGAGAAAACAAATTTTATTCTAGTAAGAGCGCAAGAAAATATCGACTACTATGAATGTATTATGTCTAGATACCAGTCATATGGTTTGCTAAATTATGCCATATACTCGTTCCAATTATTAAACAATTTAGTTAACAAATTAGTAAACATATGTTAATACTAACGTTTAAACAGCAGTCTGCATTTGCGAATTAATGGTTACAATAAACGTTAGAATAAAACAGACGTGGAACCAATGTCAAAGCCTTGTTGAGCACTTTCCCTACAATTGTTTCATTATCATCATCATCAACAGCAGTACATCAGCCATTGGAACTGGTGCTTCGCTGCCACACAACCATGAGGACCTATGAAATAAAGAATAAGAAGTGGGAGAGAAGAGAGACTTACCTGAAAATCTTAATGTACTAAGCAAACATTCAGGATCAAGGCGCCTACACCTTGCGTAGACAACATACCGTCACAAACAGCTGATTATCGTGCAAAGAGAAGGCGGCATCGGCGAGACAGCTTCCTTGCGACTTTCACTGTCACGCGTCATAATCAGCCATTACACCACAGATAACTCGGCACCAAACACATTTGAAATAGACAATCCGATTAGGAGACGGCAGCAGACGCGCCACTGGTGTCGGTTGCGAGCCATGTCCTGTAAAGTCTCCAGCCAAGCACAAGCCGAGTCACGTGGATTCCAGCCCGGAAAGACCAACGGCACCCAGTTTGGTCGTCAGTGACTTCATTTCCCGCTGCCAAGTCAACTACCGTCCACCGCGAACCTTGCGCACCCTACACCTGGTAGACTAAACAAGGCCCTCTTAGAAGGGGTGACCAGGCATACGTAGCACGTGCCCGAGCCAACGCAACTTATTTAGTGCTATCTGTTGTTCTAGGGAGCTAGCATGATTTTCACCACCTAGTACTCGCCTACGAACATCATCGTTGCGGACACGCTGGTGCCATCCGACACTAGCAATGCTTCGCAGACAACGATGATCAAAAACTTGAAGGCGCCTCAGATCTTCAGACTAAAGGGGCCAAGTTTCACTACCATATAGCAGAACGGCCCTCACTGTGGCCTTGTATACACGGCCTTAAAGACGAAGCGAAACTCCGTTCTGTCGCCAAAGATGCCGCAGGTTCAAGAAGGTAGCTCCGGCTTTTGCAATGCGTGAACTGACGTCAGTTTCTATGCGCCCATTATTGCTGATGCAGCTGCCAAGTTATGTGAAAAGATCATCCATCTCAAATTCCTCGTTAGCAAGCGTCAAGAGGTCATCAAGTGCCTTGTGGTACGGCACCAACACTTTGCACTTTGAAGGTGAGAAATGCATACCAATAAAGGGACCAGTACAGAGGCTATTCAGTGTTGATTGCGCTGCCGCAACATTGTCGAAAAGCAAGACGATATCGTCCCCATAATCTAGATCAACTAACCTTTCACCAGGTAGCACTTCAACGCCTACATCGTAAGATTCCGCAAGGGAACACTACATGATAGAAACCACGACAAAAGTGAACAAAAATGGGGAAATCGGACAACCCTGACGAACGCCACTTGTGGTCAAAATGATATCCGATAGGCCACCCTAGACCCTGACGCCGCCTGTAGTGTTGGAGTATAGAGCAAGAAGGATTTTCACATATTTCGTGGGAACACATTTCCGCGCAATTATTTCGAACAGAAGCGATCGATCGACTGCATGGCACGCACTCTTGAAATCCAGGTACACAACTATTGTCGGTCTGCGGTATGAGTGGCGCTGCTCTAGTACCTGCCGCAAAGTGAATATATGGCCTACACAATCACGTCCTGGGCGGAAACCGACCTGCTTTTCCCTAATCCGAGATTTCCGTTCCGCAGTGAGGCGACGAACGAGAATCGAGGCCAGTAATTTTGTCACAACTGGCGTTAAGCCAATACCCCTGTTGTTGGAACAGTCTGTGCGACTGCCCTTTCAATTTGCCAATATAATCGATTCGCTCCAATTAGCCGGGAGGCTCTCTTCTTTCCAGACACATTCGAATAAGGAGGTCAGTGTTTTTCTAAGGACATCATTTCCATCCTTAAATAGTATAGGTAAGAGGGAATCCGGGCCAGCGGCACGAAAACGGTTGAGGGTTTTGATCGCGTTTCTGGTCTCGGCCTCCTACAGATAATTTAAACTAACAATCCATGGCTCGTCCTGCATCGCCTGAGTAGGAAGAGGTCTGGGAGCAGGGGGCTAGCTGAACTAATCTTGAAAGTGTTCCGCCCAAAGAGCTATACGGTGCTCCTTGTTGTGTATCAGCGCATCCGCGCTGTCTCTGATTGTCTCACTGACGTCTGGTTTTCTAGGAGCAGTGGTGCGGATTAGCTGGAAGAGCTTGCGGTACTTGCTTACCGCTCCTGCCTCCTCCATTTCTTGAACCCTACTGGTCCACCAGGCCTCCTTGTCAGCAAGTAGGCTGTGCTTTATTTCACGCCTAATAGACCGTCTAGTCACATTGTGCTCAGAGTATACCGAGAGGTGTCTTCCAGATTCCAACAGATTCACCGACCTCTCGGATATCCAGTGACTGGTGCGGGGACGATGGATAGTGCCACAAGCAGATGCTATTGCGTCGTGCATGGCGGCCGAGATCCTATTCCACTGAAGCTCAGTGTTATTAGGACAAGACAGCGGAACTTCGGTATGCTGTGCGTCTTGATAGGCTTGCCTGACCGAGGGCTGAGACAATTTCTCAGTTGCCAATCGCGGGAGAGGTTTGTTGCTCCTCCCGGTAAAGTTCAGTGTTGTCGACCTTATATCTTCACTGTCAGCCAAAATAAAGACGTTGGAAAAACAGTTAGAGGAACAAAATGAGAAACTAAAGTTGTTTGACTCATTCGGAGATCTCCTAATGTCAGTTTCATACATAATTCAGTCTCCGGCTAATCCAGAGCAAAAGCACAAAATTGGAGCCTTAAACTTCCTAAATGCAATCGCCTCTGAGGTTAATCAAAGATGCAGAAGGGGAAAAAACGTCATCGCCCTCAACATAGCTGACAATATCGCAATTGACACCATTAGACGCTCTGTTTCGAGAGCGTGCAACATCGCTGAAACCGATATTAGTTGTAGAAGACTGAGGAAAAAATCTTTGCGTTTTCCTTGTCCGACTCTGTTTAGCTTCCGTAATGAAAGTCTCGCAAATTCGTTTATCAAAAGTCAAAATACTTTAAGATCTGTCCCGAAATTTTGCAAAGTTATTCTATTTGTAGACAGGTCACCTTTGCAACGTGAGCTTCAACGCATGAGTGCAACTAATGTCTCGCCTGAGCCGAAGCAGGGTCATCCTCCCTGCGCGTTTCCTGGATTGCAAAGAAGGAGATCATTCAACAGTGTTTGGTTCTCCCCTTCTAAAAAGGCAGCTAATGTTAGCAAGGCCACTCTCCACACGGACGATGTTAAGACTGGCGACAACGTAGCGGAAATTAAGATGCTCACGCCTCCACACCACATTAGTCTTGTGGACATAGGAAATAGTGTAGCTTCACTTGATGCACCACGTTCTGACAAACCAGTAGGGATTGGGATAAATCCCCACACCACTATTGAAACAGATACAAGTCCAAAAACATCAAATGGGACTGTCGATAGCTCCAGTGAAGGTACGTTACGGCCCATTGACATTATGACTACACATAGCAGCAGTGGTCATGGTTCGCGTCCTAAGCGTCTTAGATCAAACAGGGGCGTTCGTGCTGGAGAGGTGACTCCCCGTGTCCCAATGACAGTCGTGAATTATAATGCAGCTGCACAGAGTG